CTTGTTATAACGTAATTCGTTACAGTATTCTCTATATGTAATGATTAGGCTATTGCCGTATTGCCTGTATGGTTTGTATAAAGACTGACTCTAATACGACTGCTATCTACTCAGCCCCCCGCCCCACTGGATGAGTTGCGATACAAGGTTCTTACATTTAGAATTTTGTTTATAATAACCCACGGTTAGTAAATGACATTCATTCACCGAAAATGATTACAAAATAAGAAGAAAGAATATGTTGATATGAGAACATGTTGATATGAGCAACTATATATATATATATATATATATATACACTCGACTCTCCCGTCGAATTCGACGTATGAGGGTCAAGCAGATCAGTTCCTAGGAAACCGACAGCCCTACAACAGCATATGAGATTTGATTATAGTGGTGAAGGTTTCGTGCAGGACCATCCACACTTTTTGAAGGGCTGAATACAGAGATCTGGTGCACTACGTGCCACAAGGTCCCCAAACGACCCTCCGCAGGTTTTGAATTCAGAGTTGTCCTTCACCTAGACCAGGATATATATATATATATATATATATATATATATATATATATATATATATATACAAAAGTAAAGGAACGAAGAGTAAGATTTCTGCGTTCAAAACATTAATTTAAAACAGAGCTCAATACAAAAGTACAGACGTAAAGATTTATTTATTATGCAGTGCTACATTTAAATATGCACATACCCGCTACAATACTGTACATCTTGTTTCAACTTAAAAAAGAACCTTTTTTCACGTTTCATCATCGTGATTCCCACCTGATGAAACGTTAAAAAAATATTCTTAACGTTGAAACAAAATGTACAGTTTTGTAGTGGGTATGTGCATGTTCTAATTTAACACTCTATATTATATATATATATATATATATATATATATATATATATATATATATATGAGCAACTATATACTTGTCTTCGATCCAGATTTGGTCTGACAGGCAGTTCTGATATAGTGAAATTTGCCTAATGTTGGCTTCTGGGTTCATCAACCCGTTGAACTCTTACCCCTGAGGAGTACAAGTCTCAAACCTTGGATCCCTGCTGTCCATCTCTGTCGTCCATGAGTCTGGGCGGTATGCCGTTCGCCTAAGTTATGCACTTTCACACAGCGGCCGGTATACAGGCAGCAGGAGTCAAATGGTTAAATTAGGAAATACAGCATAAATTAACTCTTAAATAGCTTTGTGTAATACAACACAAAGTCAAATGGTGTTAAAATATGAATTGTAGTAAGACTATGTTGCGTCAGGTTGGATTATTGGCGTAGCACAGTTGATTCTGGGGTGGACTTACGCTATTTCTTTCTGGCAGGGTTTTCTCTTTTACCAGAATAATCAGTAATTTCCATTAATAAAGGGGAATATAAATAAAAGTAAATGTGTGACAGGATTTAATAAAGTGCTTTCTGGAGCAGACAAATTCGTCTAAGAATAAATAAATAGGCTCGGATGCTGCATTCAGAGACGAACAAAGGTGAAAAGAAAATGAAAAATGTAGAAGCAGCTGGTTGAGGAATGCAATTCAGCGGTAAGTGCAGCGGATGGACAAAATAGCCTCAAAAATAATACAGAGACGTTGACACTATGGCTTTCTATTCTTACGTCGACAAAGAATTCCCGGCTCGAGTTTTCGTCGTCTCATCCCGTTAACGAAGTACAGAAAGTAGTTATTGGTGTTGATGAAAATATATCGATTATTACAGAGAATTTAATTTAATCGAGCGGCTTCTTTTATAGCCAGAGAGGACAAGATATGATCGATTGATATGATTTATAGATATTGATTGAAAGAGGACAAGTAGAGATCGATTGGCATGCCAATGCAGATGAATACTTGTTTACATACAATCGGAAAGTAATGTCACCTTTTCGGAGACAAAGTAGGTTTCCCTTCGCCATACGTCAGTCCCCACTTTCGCTGGAAAGCTTTTTCCCAGATGTTTATTCTAGGTGTCATTAGGATTTTAGATATAAAAAAATACGTCTCTCTCAGGTGACCCAACAACAACGATCACCCCATGTCGGTTCCCCGGCCTCATCGATTAGATCCACGAGTTTTGGTTCGAAGTGTTGAAATAAAATAGCTATTTTTTTAGTAATGTTACAACATACATATGTTATAATTTTTGAATAAATATTATACATTATATAAATATATATATATATATATATATATATATATATTTTGAATAAATATTATACATATATAATATATATATATATATATATATATATATATATATATAATGTGTGGTACCATACAGGTACCATATATGCCAGCTGTATGTTTTCCATAAATGCTGTCTACATGCAATCTGTGGAGTTAACCTTCAAGAGAAGACATCTAACGTAGACCGGTTTAACAGGTGCAATATTGGAGGAATTGAGACTTTTCTCATACAGTCTCAGTTACGGTGGACTGGTCATGTCTTGGGAATGTCGGATGATAGGATACTCAAGATCCTAATGTACAGCCAGTTAGATCAGGGCTACAGGAATGTTGGACGCCCATAGCTAAGGTACAAAGACAAGCTGAAAAGCAACTTGTCAGCAGTCAATATACCACATGACACCCCTGAGCGCTTAGCCTTGGAGCTGGTAGAATGGAGATTAACGTATTTTAGTGGACTCAGCAGTTTTCAATCTGCTTGTTTGAATCATTTTCAAGAAGCAAGAGCAAGATCTAAAAGGTCACCCAAACAGTGATCTCATCTCACAATCCTCATTCTTGCTCCATATGCGGCATCCTTTGTAAATCACTAGCGGGTCTTAAGTGCCACTTAAGATTATCGCACAAAATTTCATAACTGAATCAATTGTCAGATCAGATCCTCATACGTCAAAACCGACGGGAGAATCCATTATATATATATATATATATATATATATATAATGTGGTAAATCCACGAATTCTTTTGTTGTAAGTATTTTCCAGACACTAAGTATATAATTCAATTAATAGAAAATTAATAGGATTAATAGGAAAAAAAAACTACTAAGACATATAACTCTATTAATTGAACTGTATACTTAGTTCATGTCACGTCAACTGGAAAACGCTTATAACAAAATAATTCGTGGATTTACCACATTACAAAATTCATACAAAAAATTCTCACTTGAAATATTTGAACTCTAGCGTTGCGACTTGCACGTTCAAATATTATATAACCGTTAATAAATAACATATAAATAATAAATAATTGGTGTTGACCTCACTGTATATATATATATATATATATATATATATATATATATATATATATTATATATACCTCATATATATATATATATATATATATATATATATATATATAGCAACGGGAATTAAAAAATTGTTTACAAATTTCATTATAACCTAATAATGGACAATAATGGTTCATATAAGATATAGTTGAACGCTTCAACTAGAAAAATTGAAAATAAATACAATGTATCTAAATACAAATTAGTGATATGTCATAATAGATCATTCCATCTTAAATAAATTCAATGTTTTGCGCCAATTTTAACATGAACCTGAGATTTTTCTTATTACAAGTTGAATAATTTAAGACATAAACGCTATGAATAAAAACATAATGAATTTTTTATAATGATTTTTTCGAGACTTAGCATGAACAAAACAAATTTCGACGAAGCAAAAAAACCAACAAAAAAAACGATATCAGAATGACGTCAAAATTCGCCATAATTTTTTATCCATTAAAAGTCAGTCGTTAGTTAATTTGTAACGTATATAAATGTAGGTAAAAAAAACAAGTAAATATTGATAAGATAGCAAGGGTCACAAAACACTGCCCGGAGCCCCAATCAGGCTTCTCTGCCTGGTCTGAAGTCGGGTAATTCGCATTGGCTCATCTCAAAGCTACAGACGGATACTGAGAATGCCATAAACTGAATATGTGAGCAATGTGGATGTTCAAAAGAAAATTGAAATTACAAAGATACTCATACTTAAAATCAGAAAGAAACAGTTGAAATATCCAGGATATATCATGAGAAAAGACGGCTTGGAAAATTCAACACACAGAGACTATATCGAGGGAAGGACGGGCAGAGAGAGAGAGAGAGAGAGAGAGAGGGAGAGAGAGGGAGAGAGAGAGTTTGTGTGAATGGATAACAGAGCAGTAACCACGATTCAAATTCTGCTTAGAACTACAAGAGACAGGCGGTTGTGGAGTGTCATGATCGACCACAACCAGAAGGCACATGGCACATAAATAATGATGTTTATCGATGGGAAGTATGCAACTATCCCATCCAGTAGGTAGACATTGGATATTCTTCGTATTTAGTAAACTTAGTTTAATAATAACGGGGAAAGAGGGCTTGGAGATTCTGACACTCACAGGACATATTGATGTGACACTTCAAGGGTTGAAAGATAGATCGATAAACATACTGAGAGACAAGACCAGATTTTAGTAAATTCAGAGGTTTCGTTTTTTTTTCTTCCTTGGGTAAAGGCAAGACAGAAACATTTGATTTTTTTAATTTTTTTTTTTTTACAAAAACCATATGGCCGAAGATGACAACTGACTATGAAATGGAGTCATTATTGTTTTCAAAATCCAGGTTAAGGAATTGTCTGAATGTCAGAACCTTGTGGGAAAAATCGGTCGTGAGATAAAACAAAAGCAGAGTTAGAGAAATGTTCTTTTTTATCACGTATCAAAAGAAGAGGTTAGGGTGTGAATCGCTGGAGCGGTGAAATTTCTTTAGTGAAGAACCAAAATGCCACAAGAGGAGCGGCTCGTGAGTGTCTGATTGAGGAAGGCGGAAGGGGTCGAGGAATTTCATTGATGAAAATTTTGAACTTTAATTAAAATTAATGATTGGTCACGCCTGCTCGCCCATGCTGTCTAGAGATCGGATTGGTCGAAGTGACAAGCGAAGAGAAAGGCCTAGGTAGGGCACCAAAGGAGGCGAAGGAATTGTCTACACCCCTTGGGCCGTACTGGTATGAGGTACAATTACGAGAAGGAAGGAGTTAGGGTGGATTGGTATTCTGCTATCACCACTACTCGGAAGAGGGATCTCTCCAAAATTGGGCATGCGATCAGTTTTCCAGAGTCAAACAAAGAATTCTCAGCGGAGATTAAGGGAATGGCCGAAATCCGAACCCACATCAGACCCCATGCCGGCTTTGGACGGAAGTCCATATGAACAAAGAATCTAAACAATCGAGGATAGAAGACGACAGACGCTAGGCGAGGGACGACTGTTTCACGTGACTTGCTGCAGGTGAAGAAGACCTACGACTTTGAGTTGTGTTCCAGAAACCTTGTCTAGACTTAGTCACGACGAACAAAGTGTCGCGAAATATTCGAAGTGGGAATGGTCGAATAACTTTGCATGACAAATATATTCCTGCACGAAGAACATATATTCCTACCCGAAGAAATGATATTGTACTACCAGCTCTGAACAAGAAACGTTATATAAAAGATTTTCTTTATTAAAATTTATCCTATGACTTGTGGCTTCACTTTGTCCAGACCAAACCAATTCAATGATTCCTGTCGGCAATTGATCCTCGCCAGCCTTGTGATCTAAATCAAACACAACGTGGGATAAGGCAAGGATTGGATCGAAGTGATCTTATTCAACGGTCAACCGCGAGGATCGAACATCGAACGGATCGGCGGTGCGAACGTTGCAACATCATATTGCAGGTAAGAGGGACAGATGTAAATAGCGAATAATTTACCTAACGAGTTTGTGTAAATGGTTGACAGAACAGGTATTAGGAAAGATAGCAAAAAGGCAAAACTTACAGTTACAAAGGACAGGAAGTTGTGCAGAGCCATGACCACCTACGACCCGAAGGGACACGACACTTAGAAGAAGTTTAAGACCGCCTACGAGGTCATATAGGTAGGGTTGGTTCGTGAAAATTATGTTATGTCAAATTTCTAACTAGACGTGTTTACCTTGATTCTTCTTGTATGTGCCGTGTCCCTTCAGGTGGTTGTTGATCATGGCTCTCCATAATTTCCTGTGCTTTGTAGATCTTAATAATTTTTGTCTTCTCGCTATCTAAACCTTGTTCCGCCATCCATTTACTCAAGCTCGGTAAGTAGGTCATGCGTTGTTTTCTTCTGTCCCTCCTCACTTCAATCTGTCCTGTGAGTATCAAATTTTCCAAACCTCCTTTCCTCGTTATATGCCCTAGAAATTTCAATTGTCTTTCCCGATTTTAAGTATGAGTTTCCTTTTCGTTTCCATTTTCTCCAAAACCTCCTGCTTATATGTTCAGTTGATAGTATTCTTAGCATCCTTCTGTAGAACCGCATTTCTGTTGGATCAAGTCTTGTGAAGGGATTGTCCAGCATTCGCTGCCATATAGGAGGACTGGTATTACGTGACAGTTTACTACTCTTTGCTTTGTTTTTTTTAATAAAATTTTCCTGTTTTTTAATATTTTGCTTAGCTTTTGGAAGGCATCTTTCGCTATCCTAATCCACCTTTGGATTTCAATGTTTTTTGTTATAAAACCGACCAGATATTTAAATTGTTATTGTTTGACTTTGGTATCTCCAATTTGTAATTTGCATGTTGGGCTGTCTCTTTTGCTAACAACCATGCTTCTGTTTTCACGTGATTGATGTTTAGTCTTTTCTCACTTTTCCTTCATTAACTTGTTATTTTCCTTCTGTGACGGTTATCAATACGGTTTCATTTGCATATCGAATGTTGTTAAACTTGTGGCCGTCAATAATGAATCCTAGTTGGACTTCTACTCAGTATTCGAAATGCCATCTTTTATTTTGATGCAAACACTAAGTGCCGACGCCGGTGGGGCAAAAGACGCGTAATATGTTCTTAGTTTGCGGCATAAAGACAAGGAGAGATAGAAATATAAAGATTGTGTTGCGCTAATTTTCCAAGTGCAGAAAACGTGTCTGTTTTGAAAATCAGCATTCAAAACTCCAACATTCAACTCGAGCTCGAAAACTGACGACTGACACCCGGTGGTAAATAACCAAATATTCTAGTCGGGGTTCGACTGTAGAATTTTCTTATTGTCAGTTTTTGTGTCTTTGTTTTGCCTCACTGGATCTTCATCATTACTGGAATGAAGAATATCCATTATGGCAGCGTACATTGGTGTACATTTGGCATGACACCCGCTTGAAATAGTTCCGCGTCTGCCTCCAAGACGATCGAACCCAATTAAAAATAGACAGGCTTTTGAATGACAAGTTTCAAGGGTTATTCTCAACGCACTTACTGGCATAGGTATGTGTCATTTTGAATTTGGATTACACGCACCAAATACATTATTTTCGGTTCGATAATATTTCTTTTGAAGAGTAGGAAAAACTATGCACTATTTGATGGCTTAAAAGGGGGTTTAGACAAGATTTCAGCCCTTAATATGTCATGGTAGTAACTTTTGTACAAATCCTAGTCGGAAGCGAATCAAAAAGCACATCATTTTGTTTTAATCAATACTTCAGCTTCCCATTCAAAGCAAAACACAGAACCATTATTGTTTCTCACTGTCATTTTTTATGTTATTTATGTTATTATGTTATGTTATGTTATGTTATTATGTTATGTTATGTTTTTTGTTATCGTTTCTCGCTGTCATTTTTTAATCAGTAAACAAAGAGCTTTTCGTCCTGTTAATTGATCGTCTGTCTTGCACTAAAAGTTTACCCTGTGAACTCCGCGAAGCAGGAATGGGATCTTAATTTACTTATAAAGGGGTTTATATAATAAACACTCCTTTGTGTCACCCTGTCGTATCACCGGACTTATTCAACCTATACAGTGAGGCGATTCTGAGATAATTGAAATTTCTACCAGGATTCATATGTGGGAAAGATATTAGAATAAACCAAAACCTATGCCGGCATCAAACTTCTGGCATACGGATAGAAAATATGTTCAGTATATATATATATATACAAATAGAAAGGGGTACGTTTTCTCACCAGACCCTTTCAACCCATACTGCGAGGCGATTTTGAGAGATTTAGAAGTCCTACCAGAATTAATTATTGGCGCCCACAATCATAACAACATAAGATATAAGATATGCAGATTGCAGACACAGAAAGGAAACTACAAATACTCCTACAGAACATAGTGAAAGAAAAGCGAGAAGAAAGGACTAATCATACGGTGGAGTAATGGATAGCGGCTAGGATTGAGGAATCGGAGAGCCGAGTTCGAATATCATTTACGTTCTAATACACATATGAAAAGTATAAATCCTCTTCTTCTCTCCCCCCCCAGCTATTGGTAAATAGCAGGACAGAACGGGTTCTATAGCCTTGGATGCCAACAAGTCTACCGCAGAAAGAAATGGCAACCTACTGTGGGAAAAAAATCTGCCTCGTCAGTCATGTATCGAAAGATACATGATCTCCTAAGCGTGTATCACGCATGGCACATTACTAACTGAAGAAAGCAGAATGTATGGTTGTCAGCAAAAGGAACAGCCCATTTGTGAATTACATATTGGAGATAATAATATGAAGCTGGTTCAATAATTTAAATATCTGGGAAACGTTTTAATAGAGGGAAGAAAGTGTAACACCGAAATCCAAAGGCGCATTGGGATAGCGAAAGATGCCTTCCAAACGCTGAGTAAAGTATTAAGAAACAGGAAAATTTCGCTCATAAACAAAGAAAAGACCATAGGAACTGTTATGTAATATCAGTCCTCTTATATGATAGTGAATGTTGTAAAATATCCATCACAGTTATAGAAGAGACTTAAAGCAACAGAAATGTCGTTCTAAGGAAAGAAGCTGCCTATACAATCGACTGAACATGCGAGTAAAGTCGAAAATTCAGAGAAAATGGAAACAAAAACGACTTATACTTAACATAAGGAAGAGACAAATGAAATTTCTCAGAGCACATGACGAGGAAAGAGGGCTGAGAAAAATTGAAACTCTCAGGACATAATGAAGGCAAGAGAGACAGGAAAACAGTGTATAATTTACCGATCGAACTTGAGTAAAGGGTTTAGGAAAGATAGCAGAAAGACAAAAGTTAACAACGAAGTTTCAAAGAAAATGGAAACAAAAAGGACACTTATACTTAACACCAGAAAGAGACAGTGGAAGTTTCTTGGGAACATAATGAAGAAAGTGAGTTTAGAAAATTTGACACTCACAAGACGACAAGAGGAAAGCAACACTTAACTTACATAACCAACTTATGTAAATGGTTGGCAGAAAAGAGATTAGGAAAGATAGCGAAAAAAAAAAACTTTTCTAAGAGCAACGAGGATTGTGGGGAGTCATGCTCACCGACATCCTGAGAGGTAACGGGACATAGAAGAAGAAGAAAAAGAAGAAGAAGAAAGAAGAAGAAGAAAAAGAAGAAGAAGAAAGAAGAAGAAGAAAAAAGAAGAAGAAGAAGAAAGAAGAATAAAAATAAAGAAATAGAAGGATAAAGAAGAAGAAGAAGAAAGAAGAAGAAAGAAGAAAGAAGAAGAAAGAAGAAGAAGAAGAAGAAGAAGAAGAAGAAGAAAAATAAAGAAATAGAACAATAAAGAATAATAATAATGATGAAGAAGAAGAAGAAGAAGAAGAAGAAGAAGAAGAAGAAGAAGAAACTTGTTGGGTTGTTTAATGATGGATTTTATGTGAGCACACAGTCAGGATCAAACTCACCGTCAATGCTCCACCTGACTAGGCTACCTAACCAGGATATTATTTTTTTAAAACTAAAGTGCAGTCAATACAAAGCTGTAAAGTTCTGCGGCACCAAACAATGGGGCATGTTTGAACATTTGCTTGCTATGGTCATATCGATAGGCTTTCCACTTTGCGTCTGTAGAGAAAGGGATTGTAATGTGGAAAATTAGTCATCCTGAACAGAATGCATAAAAACTTTAATCCCCACTAATGCGTACATATATAATGATGCAGCATAGATAGCAGCTTTACTATAATAATGCCTTAGAAAGACTTTTACTATAAAGATGCATTACTGATTATTTTAACACCGATTATTAAGTTTTCTGTCAAGCATTGTTTCATCAATTTGTTGGTATAATCATTGCAGGTTCAATCCCTGTACCGGGTAGTGTAGATTTAGACTCAGTGGAAACAGGGAGAGCATTAACTAAGTAGGACAAAAACGAGATAGCCAAAGACAAGCAGAATCAGGATCATCGACAGACGCCTGAAGTAGGCCGGACAGAGCAATGGCCGAAACGTCCTGATAATAGCTACAAAGATGGGGAGATATTCGAAATGTAAATAATATAGATAGCTATTTATGTAATATATATTTCACGAAATTCTGTATTTGGCGGCAATATGACAACAGGGCTATTTTATGGATAATGTAAATGCATTGGTAATGATTTTAATACATTTTAAATTACTTTGCCCGAGGAAATGTACTGTAAGAAAAGAAGCATCTGTAGTTGGGAATAAAGATACGCACCACAGATACATAATTGAATGTAGCAGGATTTTAAACATGGCGTCTGAATAAACCTTGGGAGGTATGATTCTCATTCATTGGCGCTTTCTCAGTATTTCATATGGAAGTCAACCTGACAATACTCTTGATTAGTTGAACAAAGGATACATTGATTCTTTTTTACGGCTTTTCAACCTTTTTGAAAGTTATTTAAATCCAAGAAATATGTATTTTTTTTTTGGTTAAACTCATGAATATTTATGAGCGTCTTGTAAACTTAAAAAAATTGCAAAAGTAAAAACATTTATACTTTTGTTTATGAATACGCGTTTGAAAATAAAAGCCTCACATTTGGCTTGGTAAAGTCCGTTAGGGGATAAAATGCGCCGGCTAAGATAAGTTTTCCTTTTGGCTTTATTTATAATGTTCTTTTCGATGTAGAGTGTAGTTATATCTGATATTTTTTAAACACACACACATACATATATATATATATATATATATATATATCTGGTGAGTACCCTGCAAAGGGTCGATAAGCTGTGAAAACAAATCGATCAATTATTTTATATCAATTATATATATATATATATATATATATATATATATATATATATAATAATAATAATAATGTAATGAAAGGTTTGGTGATCTGTATGGATAATTCCAAATGGATGTAATCCAGAGAGCTCAATCTAACACCAGAGCAAATATTAATTAAATTAAAAAAAGAGACAATCTTAAGTTTACGCGACGATAATTTATTTCCCCAGCAAATATATTTTTCTTGGTTCATCAGGTCACCACGAAAAATATATTTTCTGAGGAAATAAATTATAGTCATGGATCTTTAAGGTTGTTTCTTTTTTAATTTAATATATATATATATATATACATATATATATATATGAAGAAATATAGTTTTAAGGTGTGCTATATTTATGGGATAAATTGATCAATATCAGAGATAGAGCGTATGTAAATATATATATAAAAGTGAACATTGAAGGCAACACTCAGAAGCAACAGAATGTTTCATGCTAGACGCAATCGTCAGGCCGACATATATATATATATATATATCAGCATTTTCAGCGTTTATATATATATATATATATATATATATATATATATATATATATTAAAGAAATTTTATGTTTAACATTCTTTTTAGATACAAATATTTAAGTAAATGCTCTGTTTTTTATATTTGTATCTATAAAAGAATGTTAAACATAAAATGTCTTAAAATAATTGTCGGACTTTGTCTATTTCATAATATATATATATATATATATATATATATATATATATGTGTGTGTGTGTAAGCAAATGTAAATGGATGTAGATCCGACAGAATGAAGAAAAAATTGGAAAAAACAAACCAAAAATCCTTAAATGCAATTTTTTTTATGTCCATCGTCTTTGTCAAATTGAACTGAATTGTATTTTAATGAATATTGTCTTGAAGAAGGTTTATTAAACCGAAACGTCAGACGTCGACATTTCATTCATTTTAAAACAACATATTTGCATTTAAGGATTTTTGGTTTGTTTTTTCCAAATTTTTTTTTTCTTATATATATATATATATATATATATATATATATATATATATATATATATATATATGCTGAAAATATCTATTTTACGGTATGCTATATTTATGGGTAAGTGTACTCAATATCAGGGATAGACTATGTATAAAATGGATACTGCGGTTAACACCGAGCGGCAACAGTCATGCTTGAACGCTGTCATCAGGCCAAACGCACACACACACATACACACGCACAGGTGTATTTCTTATTACTCTAAGCTTTAGGTTCAGTGGGTACATAGACAATCATATTTTTTTCTTTAAAGTGGTGAAAATAATCTCTAGCGGCCAAGAGATCAAAAGAGTTATGAAAGAAAATGTACCTTAGGTCATGCACCTAAACTGCATTTCTTTTTTAATCTGGGAAACCACTTAAAAGCTCAGCGCGTTTTACTACTAAGGTATACACTATTACAGCCAAGGAAAGCTCAGTTTCCATATTAAAAAATTTCACATCTCTTGTTGGGATCTTTCCAACTTTGTCTCTGCTAACTTAATTTTTGTTCCCGAAAAAAAAAAAGTAAAGAATTTTAAGCAATTAATCGATTTTTAATCAGATATTATTTATTTTAACTATAACTGTTATATTTAGTGGGTACACGTGTTTAAGTAGACGCCCTTCTTTTAGTAAATATCATTTGACCACCTCATTTTAGGCTAAGAGTGATACTTTATACCAGACATGTACTAAAGTATGAAGAGATTGATTCTTACTCAGTGCCAGGGGTTGGTAGTCATTTTTCGTATGCGCTAATCTTTGTAGGGTTGTGATCCTCATTGGGTTCCTCAAACATACATCCCTGTGCTAGACTAATCTGAAATGTGCGAATATGTAGCTTCTGGTATAGTAACCCTGTGAACACTAGTTCTCTTTAGATTATTGAATTTAGGTAGCGTTGGATCTTCGTATATAAGTACGTAACCACGAAGAAATAGCTCATATTGTACGCACATTGTGGCGTAAGAATCTAAATCGACATATTTAGAAGAGTTTGTATGAGAAGTATTTCACAATTACTTTTTTAATCGTTTGATATTTAGAAAAAAAAAAAACCTCCCAGTACATTTTTAAGTTAGAAAGAACTATAGATACATTTATCAAAGCAAAACGAGATAGAGGCTTAGTGTGGAAAGGAAGAGTTCTACATTCATAAGTAGATTTATGATAGATACAAAAGAATGAAAGAAAATGCATTGTAATATTTTTTTTTTGATGTATTCTGCAAAAAGAAAACTGCTCTTATGCTGCACGTAAGTAAGGCTATATCAACCTGAATGTATAATTGTTGTTATTTTTTTTTTTGCATTTTCTCTATTTTTCTTGTAAGAAAAGGATTTTTGCTTGCCAATGATTGAGGAAGTTAAAACACTGAGGGGAAAACAGTAAATTTAATATGTTGGAAGTTATAAAAAATATCAAATATATTGAAGTAAGTATGAAAGGTATAAAAAGTAAATAAGTACGCATCAAAGATATGGAAACTGCAGAGAAAACCAACGATAAAATAGTTTGCTTTCGTCCGAGAAAAGAAAAGCTGAATGAAATTAAAAAAAAAAATAAAATAAAAGAAACAACGTGATTCCACGACAAAATGACAATAAAATCAACAGAATATATATATATATTGATATATATATATATATATATATATATATATATATATATATGTATACCTGTATATATAAACATAAATATATATATATATATATATAAATAAATATATATATATATATGTATATATATATAAATATATATATACATGAGTATACATACATGTGTATACCTACACACACACACACACATATATATATATGTTTACATATATATATATATATATATATATATATATATATATATATATATATATAAATATATATATATACATGTGTATACACACATATATATATATATATATATATATATATATATATATATATAAATATGAATATTTATATATACATGTGTATACATACACACACACATACACATATATATATATGCATATATATATATATATATATATATATATATATATATATATATATATATATATATATATATATATAAATATATATATATGTGTATACATACACACACACACACACACACACACATATATATATATATATATATATATATATGCTTATAACATAAAAAAATCATTAGCAATCTATTTGCCTTATATTTATTAGTCCTGTTCACTCAGTCTGTTTACTTGCTTGCTTGTTTTTTTTTAGCGACATATCAACTTCTTATGGGTCATGTAAAGCTGAAATTTACTTTTCTTGGCAGCATTAGTAAATTATTTTTCAAAAATATATTGCTGGATATTTTTTTTTCAAATATTTTCTCCAAAAAATAATTGCTGGCAATTTTACTATAAAAATGTATTTTTATATTTTCACAGTGCTTTGACCCAGTCTTGGAAATGTATGAATCCTCTTCTTCTCCCCCCCCCCAGCTATGGATAAATAGCAGGACAGAGCGTTTTCTGTAGCCTTGGATAGCAATGGGTCTACCGCAGAAAGAAATGGCAACCTACATCGGGAAAAAAAATTTGCGTCGTCAGTCATGTATCGAAAGATACATGATCACCTCAGCGTGTATCCCGCATGGAACATAACTGATTTGCTCATAGCTGGGACCCTAACAGGTGCTTCCACCCCGGGTTAGGGTGGACCTGAGAACAACAGAAATTAAGAAGTGGTTCCATGAAAATATGTTTAGAACAGACTGTGGGAAGCCACGTCATGTCGGTGAGAATGTTGCTGGAGACGAGATGCCTGGCCAGGATTGTTTTTATTGCAGAGCCTTCTCTGGATATTAACAAGAATCTTGAGATGCACGGCATGAACACAAGACCAGATATGGCAACAATATTCAAAACACGAACAAATGATACTCTTTAAATGTGCAAGGTTATCGTTAAAGATTATTTCAAAGGTATAACATAATCTACGTCTGTGTGCCGTATTCATTCAGGAAGTAGACAGTCACAATTCTCTACTACTTCCTAAGTTAATAGACATTGTGTTGAATAATTAAAACGTCATTATCATACTTATTATAAAACCCAGGTTGTGTGTGTGTGTGTGTCTGTACGTTTATATATTGGATCGGATTTCCTACATTTTTCAACCGATTTCAACAAAACTTCACAGGACGACATAAAATTACCTTGCGGTGGTTCTGACAGCGCCAAAAATTGGAAAAACATAATTGTCTTTGCACGAAATCAATTTGAAAACACGATTAAAAGGCATCACGAGAATGAAAGGGGGGACAACTCATATCGAGTTATACTTATTATAAAACCCAGGTTGCGTGTGTGTGAGTGTGTGTGTGTTCGTTTATATATGGGATCGAATTTCCTACATTTTTCAACCGATTTCAACAAAACTTCACTTTTTTTGGCAGGTAGTGTTTCTTATTGTCTTGCACACTTTTTTCTTTATTTTTACACTTAGAATGCTTTAAAAATTCCATTTACAAGACAATTGTTTATAATAAAATTCTATTCAATCGATAGACTCATAACGATTGAAAACGATGTTTTTGTTTGAGTTTGGGTTTGACCAATTCGTAAAAAAAAAAAATAATAATTAAGACATGCGTGTCCGTCAACCTTAAACAATAATCTTTGTCAATTTTATTTTTCAGTCTTTATGATGGTCGATACTTGATCTATCTCTTACTGTTACATCCACGAGCAACGCCGGGCTCTACTGCTAGTATGTACTATTTCTACTATTGATGTGGGATTATATTATTACAATTTTGTTTAGAATTTTCTGTAGAATATTTTAATTCCATATGGCCTGTCCCTTCAGGACGTGGATGGTCATGGTTCTCTTATCCTTTGTAGCTCTAATTAATGCTTGTCTTTTTATCATCTACCTCACTGCTCGTCAGGTAGATGGCCAGATGGCTCTTTTGGGATTCAGCACGCCCTGCCAGTTTTTTCAAAACCTTATTATGTGTCGTAGGAATTTCAACTGCCTCTTTCTGATTTTAAATATAATTGTCCTATTTCTTTCCATTTTCCTCAAAACTTTCTCGTTGCTTACATACTCCGGTTACGGTATTCTCAGCATCCTTCTGTAGAACCACACCTCCGTTGTCTGAAGTCTCCTCTTCATCCGTATGTAAATGGCCCAGCATTCACTTTTATATCGTATTATTTATATTGCATTGCAGTTTAGCGTTCTTTTCTTTGTTTCTACCGACATTTGTTTCTTAATGCTTTGCTTAGCTTTTGGAAGATATCACTTACTATCTCATTGAACCTTCGGATTTCTGTGTCATATTTTCCATCCTCTGATACACTTTCCCAACGTTATTTGTACATAAGAGAATATGACGAACTCAACAGAAATTGGAACTCGGCTCTCCGATTAATAATTCCGTGCCATTATCCGTCACACCACCCACACATCCAAGTTTACAATACCTAGTATACCGAAACGGTCACCACCCTTCTGGAAAATGACCAGACTCATAGTTGCTTAATTTCGGTGATCGTAGGGGAACCGGTGTTTCATCGTGATGTGTCTGTAAGCCCCCAAGAATGCGAATATATATATATATATATATATATATATATATATATATATATATATATATATATATATTCCACAATCAGTGATGACTCAGAGAGATGATTTCTTGATGTCATCGTGTCGCACTTTTGAATGTGTTTGAAAAACCATAGCATGGTTTGACCCAACCATTGTGGGTGACATTGGGTGGACGAAACAATTGCGTCGTCACAAGTCAACTCGATTGAAAGCTTTTGTTTACTGGCCTTAAACGGGTGATAACTCCTGATTATGCACACACACACACACACACACACACACACACACACACACACACACACACTCTCTCTCTCTCTCTCTCTGTCAGAAATTGTAACTCTTGAGCATAGATGTAGTACAGCATGCAGATTGACTGTATGGGCTTGAAGAAATACAAATGTGCCTGAGCAGGCACCTGCAACAGGGATTAGTAGACAGGTGATCTCGGATACGAGTAGCCAAATATTATTACGCGTATATATATATATATATATATATATATATATATATATAGAGAGAGAGAGAGAGAGAGAGAGAGAGAGAGAGAGGATGTACATACATATATATATATATACTGTTCATGTTTATATTAGAATAAAATCCATTGATTCTTTAGGAAATGGATTTTAGTTTTAATCCGCCATGTTTTTATTACTTAAAACATTACTTTTAGTGGATACCCGTATTTCAGTAGACGATCTGTTTATTTTAAACATTAGTTATTTCATCTGCCGGCCAGCGTACTCGAGAAAACTTAATAAAGAAAATATGCCCTCCGGTAGGATTTGAACATGCGTCCCCCTTTGCAGGATGAACCATGCAAAGCTCCGGCGTAGATTTACCGCTCGGCTACGAAGAAATTCAAAATACAGTAAGCCGGGGTGCACCCAAGATTATAGGATGCACTGTCTTGCTATTAATGCATACTCTCTCTTTCCCCCTCTCTCTCTTACCTCGCTCTCTCTCTATATATATTTATGTGCGTAAGTACTTCCATGAATAATAGATTAAAGAAATAATCTTGTGTCAAACACACTCACTTATCTCTCTGTTCATAGATATATAAATAATACAAAATATATTCAACAATCAAAAATTGATAATAAAATCAACAAACCTCGTGTACATACCCGCGTGTTCAGTTCACATCACCTCTCTCTCTCTTTATATATATATATATATATGACATCTATGAAAGTAACTCTATACTGATACTTATTATTAACACCCAACACACGCCTACCCAATTTAAACAATTCGCCCTAGCTGTTACCATGGAAATTTTGATTTCAATTATTAAAACACGTAAATTTCAGAAATACGTTATTCAAAAAAAAAAAAAAAATTCGCTTGAAGATGGAACAGAGCTTACTTTAACTCAATTTAATTCAAATAATTATATTGAAGTTTTCGGCTCTTGTTTTGAAACATGAGACCTCTTATGTCGCGAGTTGGAATCATATTTTTAAATAAATAATTATATTTATGCTCTACTTTTGTATCGAGCACTACTTTTTAAAAATAATAACTAAAATACTAAGGAACTTTGGCTTATTTACCTAACCAGTTCCTTCCTATTTTCTATATATTTTATTATATTATATATATATATATATA